CGTGCTGTCAAACCTACACTAGCAAGGAGATCGGGCTGAAACTATAGCTACAAGCTATCCAAGGATGGTACTATAGAATGTCACCTCAAGGTAGGCCTAGTGGCGTCATCTCTTGGTTAGGCCGGAAACTTATCAATCCACCCTCGTATTATTTCCCCTACGGTTACCCCTTAATTACCACGATAAATATGTTAAATAATACACTTCTTAATCTTAAATGGCAATCGTAATTATTGCTGTAATGGTAGGTTTCTTTGCTGAACAATTAACACAAGGAATTAATTCGATGAAAGTGCTTAATCTACTTGAGTAGTTTGAACCTACTTTAGAGAGGGGTATTGATTTTCTCCAATAGAAAAGGAGAATTAGAGATGTATTATTAGAGATAAACTACTATTATAAACTGTCATCTACGTGTAATGTAGTCGATACAGTGTATCATAACTTTAAAAAATCAAAAGCAAGACAAATATAGTAAAGCTCGCTCAATAATTGATAAAATGTTATGTAAAAGCTCAATAAAGCAAGCGTAATAGACAAGTGTTGTTAATGGTGTCTTTCTCTTGGATTGTACTTTACACTCAATTCTGGTTAATTTGCAAAGCAACTGGATAGTACAGGAACTTGTAGAAAAATTGTTAGGTGTTTCAGTAGAAGAAAGACTTTCTACCAAATTAACCACACGCTTGTTTGTTATTTGACTACGGCCAGTGCAAGATAAGACCGAGACCGAAAGAACAAGATCAAGACGAGATACGCAATACTATTGAAACTTTTGGTAGATTTTAATAGTAAATATATAAAACTTTAGCACTGTTTGAAAAAAGGGATCTACAAGAATGCCCTCGGAGAAAGTGTTCGTTATTCCTATGTCTGAATAACACATGGTTAAAATATAGAAACAAACTATTTTTTTCGTTATTTTTATTTCTTTCGAGTACCTTGTCGGTGGTTGGGTTTTATAAAACCAAAAACTTTTACAGCCCCGTGTATTAGCTTGATTATTTTTATGTAACTGGATTAGGGGAAGAAATGGAAACTGTACATCGGTGGGTATACACAAAGAAGCAAATACATCATTTGTGTTTGTGTAAATGTATAAATTTAGCACTCGAAGCACAATATATTGCCGTTTAGACTAACTGAACCGTAACCGTTAAAATTGACGCGATGCGACTCGACGCCTATCATCCCGACGCGTCCACCGTGGTGTCAAAACTGTGGCAGACGAGACGTAAAATTGCATAATAAAACCACCTGTAACGGTTAAAGAGAATTGGCCCTTAAGGGTTTATCTTTATGACATGGCTTACATGGCTCACAGCTCATCGTGATCGTGATATTAATAAGCCGAAATTTATCACCTGAACAGTGCCAACATCGAAAATCAGAAGCAAATTTTGGAGAGATTATTTTGTATAATTATCTAATCTAAGATAATAAGTAGTTGAAACTATTGTTCTTTTGAAAATTCGATAATTTATTCTAGTTTCCTTTTGTTTTCTTCTTATGAGTGGTTATTATCTTCATGCTTTTGAAAACAGTCCCCCATATAAAAAATCGAGGAAAGAATTAAGAAAGTTTATGATAATATTCATAATTATTTACTGAGATTATCAAAAAGAAATACAAAAACCAATGGCTAATATTCGTTTTTAATGTTTTGTGTTACACATCATTTAAAAGCTCCTTCACGAACTTTCTGTTATATACGAATGCTTTAAGTATATATAATCCATCATTTTTCAACGAAACTCATTGGAAGAGCAGTTTTATAAAATAACACTTCTTTAAAAAATGACACACATTTGTCAAACAATACAAGTCGTTTCATTCATGAGTACATCTGATAAGCAGCATTAAAATTTCATGCATTTATCTATGCACAATCTAAATTACAAATAAATTGCCCTGTATTATGAAATCTCATGTAATTTCCGCTTATAATAAATTAGATATGTATCTAAGGTCATGAACTACCTGAGCCCGTTCAAATTTGAACTTCCATTTGAATTTCAGCGGATTTTCCAGTATTAATTATGGAAAATTGTAACACGGGTGTGGCGTGGTGCAATAGAACTTTCTGGCATTCATTTTATGGTTTTCCAGGTCGCAGAAGCAACCCCCTCACGTACAACGACACATACACATACATACATACATATATGCCACCTGACTGAACATAAAATTCTCCACAGTGCGACTCGGTCGCGGCTACCGTTTTATCTACTATAACAACAACAAAATAACACCAACAGAAAGGGAACGAGCGGTTCGATGAAAAGGCGAATTTCCTTAAATAGAAGAAAGTTACTTCGCTTCACGAAAAGTTGTTTAAACTTATTTCCCAAAATCTTATTTGAATACCTTGCCTAAAGAACAAAGCAGATAATAGAAAATTGACTTTTTAAAACCTACCAGCGCTGCTTCAGCGAAGTTGGCAAAAATTGTGGATTTGTCGTAATAAAAGAAAACTCTGTTGTGGTATGTTCTGATTTTGGGACTCTCTAAATGTTATTAAACCATTTTCAAATGTCAAGTTGACGAATTTATTACCTACTAAGTTTTACCCTAGGCTTTGTTCGCATTGATGTTCTAAATACATGTTAAATATCATCGACAATCACAATCATAAAATCACAATCATAAAACTAATTTTCCTATCCCTCGAGAACAGTATTTTTTTCTGGATAAAAGATAGCCCTGATAATGTATGTATAAAATTTCATGATGATCGGTTTAAGTAGCTAAGGCAGTGGTTTACAACCAGAGAGACTGTTGCAAGGTGGGCATGCAGCTGTTTCCAAAATATCATTTTCGAATACAAACCAAAAAAGTCGAATAGGTGTCAAAAAAACGAATCAGCAAAATAGGTGTACGTAATCCACAACCCTCGCCGCGAAAATTACTATTTTTACATAATATTGTATATTATTTTGTAGCCCTTTAAAAAAATTATAATATCAGTTGAGTATTTATGAAATTAGATTGTTAGAAAAATTAAGGGGGCGCAACAATTTCTTTTTAAAGGGGGGCGCAGGTACAAAAAGGTTGGAAATCACTGAGCTAAGGCATAAAATAGTAATATACAAACTCGCATTCGCATTTGTTATATTAATTGGGATAACAACACGAATTATTTGAACATTTCTCGTTAGCAATCAATAATTCCTCGGGATAAAGTTGCATCTGACGGTATAAGGGAAGTGATAATTTTATTTGAAGTATTCCTTTAAGGTTCTCTTTTTTTTTTAATAGTTACAATTTAGTTCTGATATGTTAAAAATTGATAAAAAATTTCCAAATCTATATAATTCCAAGGCTGTTTAGGAAATCTATAAAATATTGTTTCAAAGATTTTTTAATACACACATATCCTGGGAAGTGTATACATTTCCTAGGAATTGTATGAAATTCCGATATTGTACTAGGAAATATA